AAGGAAGGAAGGAAGGAAGGAAGGAAGGAAGGAAGGAAGGAAGGAAGGAAGGAAGGAAGAGCTAAGCTAATAATTTCAGGTTTGTTTGGTTTTTTTCCCACTAAACTAAATTCAACCAATTAGATAGTTCCTCCTCATCCGTGGGTGGAGTGGGAGAGTCACTAGCTAAGCTGTGAGCTGAAACCCTCTGGCTTTCACCTCACAAGGCTGGGATTACATGTGTCAGCCACCATGGCTGACAAGTGCATCCATCTTCCTTTAGGCTTACCTGTAAGATTTTTATTGTTATTTTTATATTTTGGGGTTGTTTTATTTATTTTTATATCTTCCCAAAAACTGATCTATACCTAACGATATAGGAAGAAAATAGACGAGGAAAACAGAACTGGGAAGAAATATAATACTTAGAGTTAGGACATCTAGCCAAAGAATCAACATGCAGTTCCCCAAGGAGGTTATTATTTATATTAAGCTTAGAAAGTAAAAATCTAAGTAAAATATGACTGCAGTCATTTTCTGTACACGGTTAGGACACTGGAAGAGAGGAGACAAATAGTGTTTCCAAGGCTTTTAGAAGAAAATATGAGTAATTCGTGTCACAATTTCCAAGCTAAAATAGATAAATTTAGAAAGAAAAATTAAGCATATCCCAAGACCATATATGAACATAGAGAGCAGTATCAATTATAATGTAATGAATGGTAGGAATTCTTTACATCTCAAATCTTGAATTAGGTGTGTTTGTGTGCAGTACACCAAAAATAAAGTCAATCCTGTGCCTCCTACACTTTTGCAAATAAAAAAGATGTTCTTGCTTTTGAAATGGTCTTAAAATAAGAGTGTGACTAGGAAAGAAACCTTAAATAATGGAAATTATGTCTCTATTCACCAAGGTCTGTATCTTCTTATTAAAGGCCCAATTATTTTTAGAACATGTTTGTTGACCAGGTAAAAAGACTACGATTCTTTATATTTAACTTTGGTTTTTTTAACGTAGTCACTACAACATTATATTGTTTTGGTTAACTTTTCTAATTTTACCATTGATTTTGTCATTGCTTTACATTTAACATATAAATAAAAATTTGGCTTATACAAAAGTAAAAGTCATTATTTAAAAGTGATCAGAGGAACTGGAAAGCCTTCAAGGGACTCAGTTTTATTCCCAGTAACCTTGTGGTAGGTTCCAACTATCAATAATTCCAACCATCTACAACTCAACCTCCTCTAGCCTCGGTGGGCACTGCACTCATGTGGTGCAAAGGTATACATGCAGACAAAACAACCATAATACACAAAATGAAAACAAATAAATTGCTTAGAAGTTTTTAAATATAGTCATAAAAATACTGCTTCTTTTCTAAAATCACCTGTCTCCAAATTTATATTTAGATATGTAGCTTAGACTTGGATACATTCTTATTCCTCCTGCTTTAAATAAAATACATGTGCTACAGTGCATCCACTGTTTTACTCACAAACATTCTGGCAATCTTTTCCTCCATATATATGTATGTAAATTTAATAATATTTCTTTTGAAGATATAACTATGCTAACACATTCATTCAATGCTTATACAGTTAAATGAAATGTGAATTTTGCCCATGTTTGTATGATGAATCATCTAATCACACTAATAAAGAATGTATGTTGAGTCCAGGAGTACATGGAGTAATAAGTTGGATAGAATTTGCCAAATAATTCTCCCCACAGATACCATTTGCCGTACACCCCAACCTGCAATGCATCGGACAACTGACTATTCTAACTCAGCCAACAATGTACTTTAATGTTTCTATTTTTATCAATATGATATGTAAGAAGTGACATATCATTCTAAAAGTTTTCTAAATGTAGCAAATAAGAACCATATAAGGAAAGAATCTATTCTCAATGTACAGTTTTAGAAATATTTCATTATTTAGAAATAGCTCTTAGCCAGGCACAGTGGTGCATGCTTGTAAACCCAGGCAGGACTCAGGGAAGCAGAGACAGGTGGATCTTGGTGAGTTCAAAGCCAGCCTGGTCTACAAAGTGAGTCTAGGACAGCCAAAGCTACACAGAGAAACCCTATCTCAAAAAACAAATGAACAAACAAACAAAAAGCTCTTACTTGTCCTCAATTTACAAAACTACTTTTTAGAATACTGAAAGCACTCATTACATGTTAGTTTAAATGCTGGCTGTGGAGAGAGTTGAATCTTTCTTTGTATTCTCTAAAGGGAAAATTTAGAAAGTAAATGTTAGATTTCATATGGAACTGGAGAACATAGTCATTTCAGATCTAATATTGCTCATAATACAGTGCATATGCTGAATAATAGCAATACTGTTTGACTTATGCTTGTAACACTGCTTCCATCTTGCAAATGAAATTAATTGAATATTTTCCTTTAAATTAATTTTTAAATGATCATAGCTTTAATTTACCATTATATTCTTTCCATTCTTAGTATCCAGTACATGCTTACCTTCTGGTGGTTCATCACTAAGGTAAGGTGGAATTTCTTGATTTTTATCTGCCTGATTCATGTTTATCACCTATAAAACAGAACATGTTTCAGAGTAAGACTACCACTTCTCACATGATATATATCAACTTAAGCTATTTTATTTAGATGGAGAAAAATTTTAAGTACCTACCACAAGAGTAACTCATCCTATCTCCTATTTCAAAGTAGAGTTTACAAGACTTAAAATTACAGCAAAGTACAATATAAATTTTATTGGAAATACTAATGAATTTGGTAATGGTTCAGGTTTCCCATCAGTGCTTTTACTGTGGAACTTCACCTGAAAACTGATAGAGAAAGAGAGCTGGGCAATAATAAAAATCATGGGAAAATAAGATTCCTTTATATACAAATAGCATGCCTAATCTGAATCACCAAAAGACTTGAATGTCTTTTGTTTTTCTTAGTTATATGACAGAACTGAAAAACCTGTAGAAAAACATGAACTATTATTAATTCTAAGTAAAGGCATGAAAGAAATTTAAGAACTAATAAGCTATGCTAAGATGAAGAAAATATGGTTAGAACTTCCCAATTTCTTTATGATCTGAATATATTTGTTTTTTTAATATAAATATGACTAAGTAAAGGGAGAACAAGATTGGCCTAACACTGACTTTCTGATATACTATCTTACTTGGACAGAAAATTAGGGTTGTGATTCCAGCCATCAAATAAGTGTTTGTCCTATGTTGCTAAGGCCTTAAAGTCAACCAAGTATTTATCCTATGTCTCTGAGGACTCAGTTATTATATCTATATAAAAACAACAGATATTAAAAGGATATTGTGAGGAGGCTGAGCAGATGGCTCATTCAAGTGCTTACCACACAGGCATTGAGGACCTGAATTCTGAATCCAAATACTCACTTTAAAGAAAAAAATTAAAATCCAGGTGCTTGTAAAACTAGCACTGCTGAGGAGGCTGAAGATCTATGAGGCTCACTGGCCAACCAGTCTAACTGAATTACTAAGCTCCAGGTTCAGTGGGAGACCATGTCTCAAAAAAAGTAAGATGGAGAACTGACTGAAGAACATACCAAATATTGACCTCTGGCCTCTACATGCATACACATACCTATGCTTATGCACTTGCCATCATAAACATACAAACATGTACACACATAAAATGAACTTTAAAAGACATTATGAAAATGCACAATGAACTTTAATACACTAATCAACAAATAGTGATTTAGCATCAACTTGAGTTAAACAATGTTCTAGGTACAAAGGGCAATGAATCCTTGCCCTAAGGCAATAGTCTCATTAGTTGGGGAAGGTAATATATTAACACTATAGTATATATCAAACAGTGCTAAATGCTATAGAAGTAGAGGAATGGATGAGACGAGAATGTGGTGTTTCAAACAGATAATCTGTGAAGGCTTCATTTCAGGTGCATCCCAAAAGACGTAAGGCATCAGATATTTAGATGATGAGTCCTCAAGCAGAACAAACAGCAAGAAAAAAGGCCCTGAGGTAAAAGCTTACCAGGAACAGCAAGAAACAAGGGCTAAAAAAGAATGAAGAGACTACATCAAAGGGCAGTAGATGAAATCACAGAATGTAGTCTGGAGCATACCGGCCCCTGCAGGCAATGGTGGAAATTGGCTTTTAGCAGAGTAAGATGTAAAGGCAATGAAACACACTGAACAGAATAGTGAGGTGTTCTGATTTACATTTTTTAAATAGTAAAACAGGTGCGGTGGCTTAGGCCTGTAATCCTAGCATCAGGAAGTTAAGACTGGAAGACCTGGAGTTCAAAGCAATCCTGAGCTACCCAGCTATCTCCTACCTAAAAAAGGATGAAAAAACAATGGTTCTGACTACTGCGGAATGAACAAAAAATAGGAAAGCTCAAGCAGTGTCAGAAAGACCTATTACACTGTATTTTAGTAATCCAAGCTGAAGAACAAAAGAAAAATGATGACTTGGGTATGGGTGTTAGATCAGAATGTAAAAAAGAGGGACTTTCAAAGGTAATTTTAACTTCATGCATTACATATTGCCATGACTTACAACCTAAATTCTAAAACAGACTTCAGTGGGCACTAAAATCCATCAGCATAGACGGTGTGATTGATAACTATCTTTTAGTTGCTCTCGAGAAAGTCCTGATTTAAAACAGTTAGTAGCAGCACCTAATCTTGTTTGATTTGTGAATTTAGCATATCATTCCATATGATTAAATACAATACAGCTACATGATCTTGTACAGAAAAAAACAAAATAGTATCAGTTGGTACAGTGCTCCAAGATGAAATTCCTGACTAATTTGACTTAATTGGAAAATTCCCTCAAAGTAAAAAGCTTACACTTATTTCCTTTTATATCAATACTCATGGTAAAAACATAACAAATTATACAGCATAGTATTCATTAAAATGCCTAAGTTTGAATCCCAACTAATATAAAATATATAGCAAAGGAAACATACTTTGAGAGATTTAAAAAAAAATTAAGATATTCTGGCCCTAACCTTAAATGATAATATCACTTAACAAATTCTAAAGCAAAGCATGCAGAAAATCCTGGGGGGAAAAAAAGTGTGTCTCTTCTGTGGGGAAAAAAAAAAATGACTATTTTACAGCCACTTTCTTCCCCCAATCGACTGTTAAATTTTAAGACACTTCTATTTAAATTGTTCATTATATCCCCCTACATAACACACAAATCTACATACATATACTTATATACATAGAAACACGTGATCAATTGGCGGACGGTCAACATGATCAACAGACGCTTACGATAATCTATACAGAAATTTAAAAAAAATTACATGCATAACTACATCTTATTTCATTTTTCTTTTTAGGCAGAGTCTCCTATGTAGCCAAAACTGATCTAGAACTCAAATCTTGCCTCAATCTCACAAGTGCTGGAATCAATGGCATAAACCACTACTCCCAGATTCAACATATGTATTTTAACTGGAATTTAAAAGTATGTCAATGTGATTCCAACTGTATTCATTTCAAAAGTGTCCCTATTTCATAAATCCCTACTAATGGTTTTACATTTTCCTCAGTAGAGATATCCCTTCCCCACCCACACGAAAAAGACTTTCTCTGGCTGCTGTCCTGGAACTTGCTTTGTAGAACAAGCTGGCCTCAAACTAACAGAGATCAGCCTGCCTCTGCCTCCTGAGTATTAGAATTAAAGGCATGTGCTATCATGCCCAGCTAGGGAACCTATTTTTTTTTTAAATATGTTTCATAGTGTTTCTTTATCTGTTTTATATCCAAAATAGAATACCACCACTTATAGACCATAGCTGCTTTATATTAGCCTGCAAACATGGACATTAGTCTAAACAACATGAATTGACTTCATACTCCTGTGGATAGACAGTGAGGAACCATATGCAGAATAACAATGCCAGATCTGTGCTTTAAGAAACTAGCTAAGCGTTCTTGTCCACAACCAGGTGAGAAGTCTCTGCTACAAGTTTCCAATACCATAATTCTGCCATGCTTTCCTTGCTATAGGGGACTAAATGCCCTACAAATCCTTGAACCAAACTAAATCCCTCCTCCCTTTAAAATAAAAAGGAGCTACCGGCTAAAATATTTAGCACATCTAAGAAAATAATAGCAGTGTGAACAGACAGCCTACAGAAAATCTTTGCCAACTATACATAAGACAGAGGATTAACATCTAGAATATATAAATAAAATTAAACACCAAGAGAATACTATAATCAGTAAGTGAGCAAGTAAACTAAACAATAACCAATATATGTATTAAAAAGTACTGAACATCCTTAGTCATCAAGGAAATGGTATCAAAATTACAGATTCCCTATCACCCCAAACAGAATTCCTATCTTCCATAAAATAAAAACAAATGCTGTCAGGATTGGGAGAGACTAATGAGGTTCTTGTATAAATATCTCTTTATAAGATCTCTAGGCAAGCACTCTCTTCTGCTGTGCCTATCATTTTTCTTTACTCTGATTTCACCATAGCTCTTATTCTCACTTAGTATCTATTTTATGTGTATCCCTATTAGAATGTAAGCTCAGTGAGAACAAGGGATTTTGGTTTTGTTCACAACTTCATCTTCAGATCCTTAATGTCTAATAAAGTCAAATACTTGAATTTTTTTATAAAGCCAACTTGGGTTTTAAAACAAGCTTATATTATAGGAAAAATATAGTGTTAGATTTCTAGAATGATCAAATATGCAGAAATAATAACCATGACAGAGTACATTAGAAAAGAAACAATTTTATCAAAAGATGAGGGACCTTTTGTTCATCAAAAGATGAAGAAGTTGTATCTTAGATGCCTTCAGAACATCTACAGAAAGTTGTATAAGATGACGTCAGAAAATCCACAAAAGACATTTTAGGTAATCGTACTTAAAAAGTTGAGACAGTCTGAGACAAGTTGAGGTTTAGACAATGGCTTTAAATGATAACTTAACATATGGAGGGTGGGTGATGTGATTGTACCAATGAGTGATGAAAACAGAATTACAACTTCATTAGATTGTATTTAAGAATCAACTGAAAAACAAAATTTAGCAAAACAAACCTTCAAATGAATAATCAGTATTCACTGAATAGTTAGTATAGCTTCAAAGAGAGCAAAAAAGGAATTTATAAGATTCCTAAAGTTTCCTAAAAGTTCAATGCAGGCATTAAAACAACTTAACAGGATCATATATTAGAGGGAAGCATTAATTAACAGAGAGATTAGTATAAAAGACTACTATCAGATGATCTGATTGTTTTTATAATACACTCAAAAACACTGAATCCTAAAGTTTTAACTGAAATTGCAAGTTGAAAGCCAGGTGTCCCCAGTCCTATAATCCCAACATCCTGGAGACCAAAATAGGACTGCCATGAGTTTGAGGTCAGCCTGACTACATAGTGAGCTCCAGAACAGCCAGAACTAAAAATATGACTGTATCTGAAAAGGAAACAAATACATAAAAGTTAACCTTTTGATAAGAAAAAAATTATTTTTATGTGCTTGGCCTATGTGCACAAATATATGTGTGTGCACCATGTGCATATAGTGCCCATGAAAACCAGAAGAGAGTATCTGATCCCCTAGAACAGGAGTCACTTGGTTCTGTGCTGTGTTTGTGTGCTGGGGGTTGACGCCCCAGTCCTCTGGAAGAGCAACCACTGAGCCATCTCTCTAGCCCCAAAAATTAATTTTTATACAAGCCATTTGTTCTAAACTCATTGAGTCGTTAATTTAAGATACACTTGAACCCTACTAATTACCTGCATCCAGTTATCATTGGACACATAAAGGTACCTAGAACCTAGAACTTATTTAAGTGAGAATATACTTTCCAAGCAATTGCCATTTTGATCATTCCTGGAAACAAAATATATTAATATATTATCTGCTTTTTAGGAGCTCATAATGCATATGTTTCTAGTTTTTAAAAAAAGGCTTTCATAAAGAAGGCAATGATGACAACAGCCTTTAGACTTAATTTTTTTTAAGAATTTATTTTTATTGTATGTGCATTGGTGTTTTGCCTGCATACATGTCTATGTGAGAGTATCAGATCCTGGAGTTAATAGGTAGTCATACAGGTGCTGGGAATTGAACCCAGGTCCTCTGAAAGAGAAGTCAGTCCTCTTAACCACTGAGCCATCTTTCCAGCCCCCTTAACATATTTTTTAAACATCATCAGTTCAATCTTTTGGTTCTGACAACGACAAACCATTATAATGTCAATTATGAAAGATTTCTTTACTACAGACTGTATAACATGACAGCAAATTCAGCAGCAGTCATTTTAATGGGAAAGGGATAATTCTTATCTAGTACAAAATACTAAAGCAGCTGGCAAATATATTGAACAAATATCAATACCACTATTCCCTAGAGGGTAATTTATTCCAATAATAGAAACAAGTAACCAAACACTTGTCGAGAACCTTTCCGTCTGTTGTATGTGTGAGTTAAGAAAAATAAAGTCATTTATGAAGAAATGCTGTTTGTAGGTTTCAGTAACATTTTATATACAAATTTAACTTTTGGTTCACAAAGAAAACAAGATCTAAATATTGTTTGTTTGTTTGTTTGTTTGTTTTTTAAGCCTCTGGGTATAACCCCTCTAAAGTCAAGTAAAGCTTTATTCCAAAATAGAGTGTGCAATACTTTACCTTCAAAGTCTCTTTAAAACATTTGTTACACAAGTCAGTCTTCTATAGAAGAAAAAGCCCAAGTTAGGCATAGTGGCTCACACCCTTAATCTTGTAAAGCTGCAGCAAGACTGCCTCAAGTTAGGCAAGCCTAGCTACACAGTGAGGTCCAGGTCAGCCTAGGCTGTAGAGTGAGAACCTATCTAGGAAGGAGGGAGGGAATTCTGCATGTGATATATAGAAAGTGGCAATTCCTCATCCTTCTTCACTGAGGAGTTTCAAAACTATACATGTACTAACAGGCAATGTAAAATAAGACACCACATTGCTGTTTTTATGCTCTGTAGCTAACAATACTGAACACTGCTTGAACACTTTTATAAGGTGGCTCCTGCCAACTAACAGCAAATAGACTACAGGAAAGGCACTGGCTTTGGAAAGAAAGAAAAATTGATCAATAAAAGTTTAAAAATCACACACAAAGTGATAAGTAATGCTTAGTGTCAAAATAGAAATTTTAAGTGTTTTCCTTAATAAAATATGAAACAGGATTAAAATATTCTGCCAAACTAGAGAACCAGTACATCAGCCATCCTCACTAAAATACACTTCATTGTTTCACTAGATACTGGCATCCGGACTTTGTGCCAGGTCTTGCTGAGACAATGAATGAACATAGATACAAAGACCCTACTCGTAATTGTATGTAATTCGTCCGATATCATCAGGAAGTAGGAAAGGAACAAAGACTCAAGGACTGAAACAGGAAAGTTAAGGTTTTCCCAGAAGTTTAAAAAAAACAAACAAACAAACCAAAAAAACACTTGACTTGTGAATTTATTTGGCTAATGTAAACATCACTTAAACTCTCCTAATGATGTTTTCATTGAACTTGATTTCTAGTGTTAAGTCCTATAACAAAGACCAAAAAAAAGAAAACAGATGTATATGAATTTATTAAGCATTTATTAATCCTGCTAAAGAAGGATTGGAAACAAGCACTTACCTGTTGAAGGCCAAAACCTAGAAGTTTTAAACACTAACCAATAGCAGATACAAATAACCACAATGTTTCCTTTTGGATTAGCAGCGTTCATAAGATACAAAAGACACAATCAAATAAAATTTCGCTTCCTAGTCTAGGTGTTTCTAACTCTTCCCAGCAGCCCTTGCTCCCCTCATTGATCCACCTTTAGCCTTTAGGTACAAGCTTTTTTTTTTTTTTTTTTTTTACATAGCAGAGGAGTGACGTGGCAGGAGAGGCAGAAAGTGACCCTAGAGGCTAGCGCTGGCTTGGGCAGCTCCTCCTTCGTTGTCCACCCAGCACACCCTAGCTCCTGTGGAATTCCAACGTAGAAAGGGTTTAAGAGAGACAATCCTATTTGATCCGGAGTGGAAGCTCCGTGGCCAGTCTAGAAGCTGCGTGAGCAAGGCAGGTTTGGTTTGGGATTAAGCCTGGGGTAGGCAGTGACTGCAGTAACGGCGGCTCCAGGACTCCCACGGTCGTTCCTAGACACTGCCAGCGCCCCCTTCATTTCCACACCTGCGGGTTTAGAACAGGCGTGGGAGCGGAGTTCCCAATTTGGGAAGAGCAGCGGTAATCTCTGCTTGAGGGCGAGCCCTGTGTGCTTGAACCCACCGGACCGTTTATCAACAGGTCAGAAGTTAAGTGCTGCAGGAAACTGGGCTCCTCCTCGGACCACCCCATCTTCTCCACCTCGCCAGCCGGACACTCGGGCGAAGAGGTCAGACCCTGCCGTCCAGGAGCAAGTGGCCGGACCCCAAACACTGCGTCCGAGAACTCGGGACCCACCGGGGTGACCTAGCCACACAGCCTCCATCCGCCCCCCAACCAACGACGCCCTGCCCCTCCCCCTTCACGTCAGCGCCCCCCCCCCAAAAAAAAAGGCCAGGCTGGCGCGGCCAGGCCCCGGGGGGCGCAAGGTGAGGAGCAGAGGGGCTGACGGAAAGGGCCCAAAGGGCGGCCATCCGGGACGGCGCCCCCTCCCAGCCCCCGACAAGAGACCGACTCACTCACCGCGGGGTCTGGGCCGGGGGCCGAGGAAGCGGTGGCACCGAGGGGGACAGCAGAGGCCGTGACGCGGCCCCGGGGCGGCGGCGCGACCCAGATGCTCTCCCCGGGCTCAGGAGTGAGGAAGACTCTGGGTCCGAGGCGGCGGCGGCCTCTGGCTGCGGACGTGGCGCCTGACGCGACCCGCCCCCTCCGCAGCCTGCGGAGCTCCCGCCTCCTCCCGCGCCTCGGGTTCCGACGCGCACGCGCGCTCGCCCCCGCCCGCCCGCGCCCACCGGTCGCTCGGCGCGCGCAGCCCTCCCGGCAGCCCCCAGCCCGCCTGCGCGCTTCGTCGGGGTGGGCGCCGCCCCGCCCCTCCGCCCCGGCGCCCAATCAGAGCGAGCGAGGGGTGCAGCCCTGAGACGCGCGGGGCCGCGGGCCTCGCCCGACTCTCCAGCAGCCGAGCGGGCTCGAGAGAAGTAACGGTTATGGGGATTTAGAACTTCTCCCCTGAGGAGGGCGGCATGGTCGCCAGTGTCTCCCTCTCCTCCCAGGGGCTTCATCCCTCTTTAGCTGCTGCCCCAAGGGAGTGACGGGCAGGGCCTTCTGTCAGCCGGTCTCCCCAGGGCACTCCGCGCCGGTGTCACCGAGTGATAGGGTGAGGCGAGGCCTAGCTAACTTGTTGGGGCTTTTGTTGTTGTTTTGGTTGTCACCTTCCCTCTTGCCTGCCCTACGACTGCAGTCCTTGGGAGTAAATTCCATCAGGTTCGCCCTCCTCACATAGCGGTGCCCAGGCCTTTCAGGGGGCCTGAAATTTTGATGAGGAAAAAGGTCGGTTCTTCGTTGTGAGAAATGAACTGGAAGTAAGAAAAACTGCCCTTGTGTCACTTCCTAACTAGGGCTTCTTCAGGTCTTCGACCCTACACACTCTTTCTGACCCTGGGGAAAGGTCCTGCTGGGGTCCTGGAAAGTAGTGAGCAACCTAAGAGGATGCTGTCGGCTTCTGTAAGTTCAGCCCTGCCTCAACCTTTGGTGGGAAGCCGGACAGAGAGCTTCCAAGAGGCTGGTAATAGCCGCCTATGGGGCTGTTTAGGGGAGCAAATGAGAGAAGTTCCGCACAGGCCGCCTAGATAGATAAATGCTATAAGCTTTTCGTTGACTCTCATCTTTTAAGATCAAGATGACAATAAATAAACCCTAAACTTTTTGAGAGGATAGGGAGAGATGGTGGGTATAAACGGGCTTTATAAACTGTGAAATCATACCAAAATATAAGATTTTTCAAGTGGAAACATACACCAGGGTGAGAGAGAGTTCATTTTTTTTTTAAGTTTTGTTTTTGTTTTTAATGTGCAGTAGTGTGAAGATGTCAGATCCCTTGGAATTGCAGGTACAGACAGTTGTGAGCTGCCATGTGGATGCTGGGAATTGAACACGGGTCCTTTGGAAGGGCAGACAGTGCTCTTAACCACTGAGCCATGTTCAGTCCCACAAGACCTGTTTTTAAGTGAAGTTAATCAGTGTGGTGTAAGTGTTGACAGGGCTCAAAGAGGGGTGCTAACAACAAAAAAATCCCAAGAGGAAACTAACTTTGTCCCAGTTCTTAAATAAAATGAACTATAGTATGACTTCAGCTTCATCACTACCAAATCAATGAATTTAATCCATTTAGATAACGGTGCTGAAATTATCAGGATAATCTTGTTTTACAGAACACATCACTAACTTGAATTGGATGATTAGGAGTGTCTGAATTTTCACCGAATACTGAGTTCTTAATGGGATTTTAATAGGTGACTTTCAAGATTGAACTCTAGGCAAAATTACAATGTACAAAATGATACTTTATAACTTTCTTCCCCAAATGGACGCGGTTTTACTAATTATTAAGGCCATAAATCAAAGCAATTGTTTATTTTAGTTCATAAACCAACAAAAATACTGGGAAGCTTTTGGTTCCTTCTGAAACTACAAATATAGGTAGTCCTGTTTTGTTTTTGTTTTTCATAAATCTCACCCCAGTGAGATTTTTTCTTTTTCTTTTTCTTTTTTTTTTTTTTTTCTTGCTGTCTCAGTTTCCTTACTTATAAAAATGAATACAGGGTTTGGAGAGATGGCTCAATGGTTAAGAGCATTCACTTCTCTTCCAAAGGTCCTGAGTTCAATTCTTAGCACTCACATGGCAGCTCACAAAAAGTACATGTGCATACATATATCTTAAAAAAGCTGAATACCATCACATTCAGATCTTACGTACTCTTTAAGATAGCAAGTATGGAGATCTTGATTGAATTGTTTGTTTCTTGATTTCAGATACCTTGATGCACTCAGAAGGAGCCTCAATGAAATCAGGCCCTATTTATTTTATAGGCCGACCTCCATTGTAGATCTTGATTCTTATTCTGTAATATCTTTATTTCTAGATAGCATTTAGCTAGATAACAGAGTAAGGTAGTTCAAAATGGTAAGACCAGAAAGTAGCAAGCTAGAAGACAAAACTATAAAAGCAAGACATAAATTAGATGCTGATAGCACTGAAGTTGAACAAATGGTCCAACTTTTTGCACAGTATATGAAACTGTTCCAATTTGCATAAATAAAATTCTTTGTTGAGTTGTCATCATCTTCATAGTGTTTCTGTTGGACTTTATATGACAAATTAGTGTAAGGGCAACACATTTTTTATGTTCACTGTGTAATACATTCTTTTGGTATTTTGAAATGAACTGAATCCTGTAGCCTTGAATAGGTTACCATCCAATGTAAATAATACTTTTCTATTCTCACATTCATACTGGTCTTCTGGCACAATTGCTTGAACTGTTTTTTTTTTTTTTTTCTTTCCGTGACTCACTACTTTTTTTAACTTATAATTTATTTGATACAAGCTGTTAGTCTGTGTCATCTCATTTCTTTCAATAATGAGGCAATCACTATTATATTTTCTCTATTCACACAAAGAAACTGAAGCAAATAAGTTAGATAATTTAGTCCATCATAACTGTTGAACATAAACTTCTGTAATCCAATTTTGTTACCACAGCCCAAGTTCTTAAACATCATATTCTTGTTTGAGATAAATGTTCTTTATATAAGCCAGACTCACCTTAAACTTACTGTGTACTCCAAGCTGGCCTCAAACTTTTGATCTTTCTAAATTCTACAGTCAAATTTAACCATTATATTCTGACAGAAGAAAGCAGTCCCTGAAATCTAGCAAATGGCCTGGTGCTATCAGAGAAGTTGTAATATTAGTAGGAACTGGCCTGATGTAACTAGGCCTTGGTATTTTCCAATTAAACCAAACAGCATGAGGCAAAGCTATTTCATAATCAATAATGGTCTAAGCAAAAATAAAACTACTTTCTAGTATTTGAACCTGAACAAAAAGATGAATATAATCCAGGTCACCAAAGAGAATACACAAAGTCAAAATGAAAAACTAGTAAATGGGTGTTGCTTCTTCACTGGTTACAGTTTTACTCATTCTAGCTTTTCCTCTTTATAGGTAAAATTTATGAAGATAACAAATCATACAATCACCCCTGCTTCATCACAAAAGTAAGGCAAGAAGGCTCTACATCCTTAAACCCTCCATCAAAATATCTAACACAATCCTCAATCTTAATAGCCCTGCCTTACATCCTATTGCAGAGATGCAATGTAATTCAGTGTCTCTCTTATGAGTGATAATCTATCTCAAGCTGTTCAGCTTGCAGGAATTCTTGGTGATCTTTGGCTAAAGTACATCAGCAATTCTTTCTGTGTTATCTGTACCATGTATTTCTATGGAGTGGAAACATGCTGTTAGGTAGAAGATAGATATGAGTAATGGAGATTGGAAGAGTGGTCCTAGAAGACATCCCAAGACCTCTTTGTGTTTGTACAGCCTGATAAGCTACTACTATAAAACCCCAGCTTCATATCCATCACCCTGCAGACGGCCTTCACTGCTGCATGGACAGACATCTCCAGGCATAAATTGATAGCAGTTCTCAACTGTATCCAGCCCATCCCTAACACCTCGTGCTCTTTGCACATCCAGTGGGAAGTCACACAAGCTATAAGGTACCATGTCTGAGAAGTTCCTGTGCCACTATTGCCAGAATTCCTTGCAGGGAAAGAAGTATGTGGAGAAGGATGGACAAAGCTGTTGCCTGTCGTGCTTTGATAAACACTGGGCCAACACCTGTGAGGAATGCCGCCAACCAATAAGTGCAGATTCTAAGGAGGTGCATTATAAGAGCGGCTACTGGCACAACACCTGCTTTTGTTGTTACAAGTGCCGTCAACCCTTGGCCACTGAGACCTTTGTGTCCTGGGAAAACAAGATCCTGTGCAACAAGTGCGCCGTTCAGGACTCCACCCCGAAGTGCCAAGGGTGCCTCAACAGTATTGTGGCAGGAGACCAGAATGTAGAGTACAAAAATACCATCTGGCATAAAAACTGCTTTGTCTGCAGCAACTGCAAACAAGTCATTGGAACCCAAAGCTTCTTCCCTAAAGATGATAAATTCTACTGTGTGACTTGCCATGAGAACATGTTTGCGAAGCGTTGTACAAAATGCAATAAGCCCATCAAAACTGGAGGAATCAGTTACCAGGATCAGCCCTGGCACAGTGAGTGCTTTGTATGTTGTAACTGCTCTAAGGAGCTGAGTGGGCAGCGCTTCACTGTTGTGGACAACCAGTATTACTGCGTGGATTGCTACAAGAACGTTGTGGCCAAGAAGTGCACTGAATGCCGAAATGCCATCACTGGGTTTGGCAAAGGCACCAATGTGGTGGCCCATGAAGAACATTACTGGCATGACTACTGCTTCAACTGCAAAAACTGTTCTGTAAATCTGGCCAACAAGCACTTTGTGTATCTTGGTGAGCAGGTGTTTTGTCCTGACTGTGCCAAAAAGAAATAACTTGACAAGGACTCCTATCCTGTAAAATGGTATTTGAACCATGCTTTGTGTTCTTACTCTCTCTGCACTGCACCAACCATAGGCTCTCACCTCTATGAATTTGTTCCTCTGTCTTTTCTTATATTTTACAGTATCACTCAGCTAAGGGCACACTGTGATCATGTTAGGATTCAACAACCTTGCAGCATAAATAATTTCTCTGTTGCTACAATGGAAAAACAAAAACTTGGATAAACTCTTCTGCATGTTTCTTATAGATCAGAAAAGTGTTAACCATGTAGCCTCATGATGTGAGAAACATAGGCAATAAACCCCCACTGTGTAGTCATACAGAATGAAAGAGCTGTAGCAACTGCTCAGACTCACTGCTCACTCTCTTCTGTCAACAGAGAAAGAATTTTCCAGAATGTATCCTTTCTGTTCTTTTGTGCTTTCATATGACGTGAATTTCCAGAAAATAAACATTTTGAACTTAGCTGTAATTCTCAGCTGACCTTTTCCACATACTAATATTCAATTGGTCCATATGGCTTATTTTCTTCTGCATGTTTCTTATAGACCATAAAAGTGCTAACCATATAGCCACATGATGTAAACAAGAAGCATAGGTATTCCCATTTTAAAAATGGAACACAGGTGATTTCAAAAATCTAATCAGATCTGAGAAAACAAGTCTGTTTTCAAGCATCTTAACAATAACTACTTCTAGAAGCTTACAAAATTAATACTCCTGTACTTTTTAAAATTAACAATATTTTGTTTTAATAATGAAATAGTTTGGAAACTTGTATGACAATATTTGAGTATCCTCAGACATCCCTGTGGTTTCGAGATTCATCCTGTAGAAGTGACAAACTAAATGGATAGGCAAGAAATGCATAGCCATCATCAACATTAACAGTCCTGTAAAGCCATGGCGGCTGAATCCCAGTTGTTGCCTACCCTTGCCCATATATTCAAGAAGACTGCAAAGTTTCTTATAATTTTAGGACCTTAAGAGTTTAGCTGGATCTCTGGGGGTGTGGGTTGGCCACAGTCCTTCATAGGTGGATGTAGATTACCACCTCCTACTTCTCTGAAATATCAGATTACCTAGCTACTGTATTCTCTGTTATGATGTTACATATAATAAGACAATATCAAAGTAAATGAAATTACAATATCGATCATATTTCTATAGGAGTAGTCATAGATGCCTATGCCACATTTTGTCAGTCACTGTTATTTAACATTTCAGTGTAGTCTTACAAAAAGCAGCATAGAAATAAAAAGAGACTCAGCTTTCATCCTGAAGCTTCTATTTTAAACAATGTTTTAAACTTGCAATGACAAAATGTCTTAACTGACAGACATGAGATCAACCATTAACTTTGAGCAATCTCATCAAAGAGAAAGTAACCAAGAAAATACAGCTGCCTCCTGGAAGCTGTGTCTTATAATGGTTAGAATGTTGACTTCATATGTTTCCATGTCCTTTGAGTTGCATATCGATTGTTCCTGCAATATCAGAAACTAAAGTACTGCATCATATTTCCACTTCTGTGCACCATATCCCCACCCAACTTTTGTGGGCTTCTCTAGACTCTAGAGCAGCACTTTTCAACCTATGGGTCAAATGACTGCCAGAAAACACCTTCATTACATGACAGTTCATAACAATAGCAAAATTACATTTTTGAAGTAGCAGCAAAAATAATTTTATGGTTGGGAGTCACCACAACATGAACTATATTAAAGGACTGCAGCATTGGGAAGGTTGAGAACCACTCTAGAGAATCATGGAAAGAAATACTCTGAAAGGAAGTTTTATGATTTTGGAGGGAAAGAAGGTCACCTTATATCTTTTTTGTCCTGTTGCTGTCATATAAAAGAGTGATAAAAGTAATCTGAGGGAGAAAGGGTTTGTTCTAACAGTCAAAGGTACATCATGGCAAGAAAATCAAGGCAGGAGAAACGAAGCAACCAGTCACAGCCTGTTCACAGTTGGAAAGCAGAAAACAATAAATGAAAGCCAGTGCTCAAAGTTATTGTCTGTATTTTATATAGTCTAGGATCTCCTGCTCAGAGATGGCCCTACTCACAGTCAAAATGGACCTTCCTACATCAATTAATATAAAATAATCCTTTACATACAAATCCAGAGACCCATACCCAAAGTGTTCTAGATTCTGTCTAGTTGAGAATAGTAACCATTACAACTTCTCTGATATGCCACCCACTTCGTAAGGTTTCCTCAAAATCCACCCAACTATTACCCCTTTTGGGCACATCCCACTCTAAACTGTCTTGGGACTATATGCTTTTCCTTGATAATCTTATGCTGAAATTTTCTGTGTTTCTTGAGTCCTTCAGGAAGACAAGAACCGAGAAAACTCCCATAGCAATACTTATCAGCCCTTTCTTAAGAAAGAAGTTAGAAATCACCCTTCCATCTGCAGCCATCAGACTGTCAGATCAAAGTTAGGTGATTTCCTTTTCATGAACTATACATACAATGAGTGCTAAATGACCATTAAAAAAAAAAAGTTGAGTCTAGTGGCTCAGTCCTGTAATCCCAACTTCCCAAGAGACTGGAAAAGGTGGCAAATTGAAAGTGTACATAGAATACAGAAAATTCAAGTCCATCCTGGTCAGTTTAGACTCTAATTGGAAAAAGAAGGACCAATACAGCTCAGTGGTATAGCACATGCTAGCATGTGTAAGACCGTAGGTGCGAACCACTGTATACCTCTCTGACTTCCTCCAAAAAGGCGCTGAGTGTGATAGCAACAAGAAGCTAAGGCAAGAGTTAAGAAGTTAAATGTTCAAGACAGCCTGAGCTACATGGCAAGAATTTGTTTCAACAAAACAAGATGGTAAAAAGAAACACATGAAATAATTGAAACTTTTTCTGGGTGCTGGAGATGAAGGCATACCAGGCAAACAATCTGTCACTGAGCCAGATCTTCAGCCCTGGATATCATTTCAAAGAGGAAAAAAGTACTTCTTCCCACCCGCTCAAGGCTTGCACCGTGTCAAACAACTTAAAGTGGACTACAGAGATAAATGTAAAATTATAAAACTTTTAGGAAAAAATCTAGGTGATCTTTAGTTAGGAAAATACTTTTCAGAACATGAATATAGCAGAAAGCCCCCTATAGGGGTCCTTTTTAAAACTCTACTTTATCTGGGGTGTTCAGGCCTCTACCTCCCTTCCACCAACCCCCAACCTTAACAAGGAGAAAGAAAAAGTAAGGACTGGGGCTTCAGACCCCTTTACTTCTCCCTGTAGTTAGGGCCAAGGGGTCCTTTTAGGGTTCTTTACCAATTTCCATCAGCTACAGACACAGCAGTCTCCTCCATGCTGGTGTGTCCCGAAGCGTTTCTCTCCATCTGTCTGCTCCAAACTGCCACACCGTCTCTGGTCTCTGGTCTCTGGTCTCTGGTCTCTCCAAACTGCTACACACCACATGCCAACACTGAATACTAACACACACATACACCTCCTCTTTCTTGGCTCTCATATTTATACTCTCAGAGTTCTATACCACGCCCCACTCTGTGACACACATGGAACGCCATTACCAGCTGGCAAAGATCACATCCTGCACGTGACAATTCACAGGTGTGGACAAACTATAGCCCAGCTAAAACTCTACACTTGGGATTAAAATAAAAACATATTTACATAACATAACAGTTTACAAAGAAACCAAAACTTCATTACACATGAAACATAATACATAAAAGTGACGTATATTTGTGTATGCATGTTAACGTGTTGGTGCATGCATGTACATGTGTGTTTACATAGATATTTATGACATTGTGGAAAGGGATAACACTAAAAGGACAGATGCAAACGGGTGTAAAAACCAGAAATGGGACTCATGACATTCCTCAAGTGCCATCTACCTTGTTCTTTAAAATGTGATCGCTCACCGACTTTGAACTTGACAGGTAGGTAATGGTAGTCTGGCTGGATAGCAAGTTTGTCAGTAAAGCTATCTCTCTAGTCCTGGGGTAAGTGTGTGCCACCAGTTCCAGCATTTTTACATAGGTTCTGAAGATTGAACTCAGGTCCTCCTGCTTGCATAACAAGCAGTTTACCAACAGGCTGTCTCCCAGACCTCTAAATTCAAAACACAAAAGCAAACAAAACTGATTTTAACATGTCACTGCTAAGAAAATGAAAACACGAGTAGCAGACTAGGAGAAAATATTTCCAAGAAACATTAAAGTTATATCCAAAGTATATGAAAAATTCTAACACCTCCAAAAAAAAAACCCAGTTTTAAATTGAGTGCTTAATTGAATTATCAGATATTAAAGAAGATACATTGGTAAGTACATGGAAAGATGGTCATCATCATGGTCATAAGGGAAATGAAAATCAAAACCATAATGAGAGCTTGAAGAGATGGCTTATTTGATATTTACTTGCCATACAAACATGAGAACCTAAGTTCAGATCCCCAGCATCCCTGTAAAAAGCTATCTAGCACTACAAGATAATGGACAGCTATATTAGTGGTGTGACCCCAGGTGGCTTCTCAGAGACAGGCAGATCCCTGGGGCACCTTGACCAACCTAGCCAATCACTAAAGAATCTAGGACGATTCCAGAAGTAGATCTGTGGCCTCTACATGTGTTTATGCATATGTGTGCATACAAGCATACATACATACCCTTCAATGAAAATCTACTTGGTTATTTTTTTTTTGGTCCAAATACCATGAATGGGGTGCAACCATAAAACTTATTAGTAGAAATGCAGAATTGAACAAATGCCTTGAGAGTTCAGTTACTTACAAAATTAATCCTACATTTACATTATAACACACACACCCCACTAAGATATCAACCCAAGCACATATACATAAATACAAAAACGGGCATGGTATTTTCTAACAACCTAAAACTAGAAGCACTCTGAGTGCCCTTTAATTAGTGAATATATAAACAGATGTTGCCACATATGCTCAGCGGAAACCACTTGGGGACAAACTACACAAAATGAATAGGTACCATTCTCAGTGAAAGACTCAAGACTAAAAAGTATAGGTGCGGTATGAGTCCATATATATGACATTGTTGAAAAGATAAAAACCATAGAGAGAAAACATTTGTTGACTAGGATTAGGCGAGGTTGACTGAAAGGGCATGAGGGAGTTGAGGGGGCAGTAGAACTGCTCTGTTCCTTGATTGTGACGTGGATGCACAAGTATACCTGCATACAGGTATAATGCATGTATCTGTCAAAACTAACAGACAGTCTCTAATTCACAAGTGATATTTCAGTAAGCTTGATTAAAAGTAGAAAAAAAATGTTGAAATGGAAGAAAAAAAAAGAGTTGAAGTGAGGAGAGACTACCTGGCACCATGAATTTGAAGCCCTCCACAAAGAGGACAACCCACCTCCCCATGTTCCCAGTGGACAGCCCTTAGGGGAATATTAGGTTTTGCATAATTGTTCATTATATTTGACCACACTTG